TCCAAATTTATTTACAAATTTTCAGTACATTAGTTCAGCTGACGGCTAAAACCTCTTGAATGTTGTTCAGGATCATGACTTGAAAAATATTTGTCAAGATCAAGGCCATTAGAGATTTATCTTATCTCCATTTTTATGTACGTAAAAACAAGAATTAGAAAAACACTCTCCAATGGCCTTGAACAATATTCTCTTTACAATTCTACCTGTCTCATATCAAACCGTGCATGAATAAAGAGAGATGTACGCTGATATTTTTCGTCATCTTGAGGAAACGTCCAAGAGCATATGGTCTTTCTGCTTTTAGGTCGGAATTCATAATAAATTTTTATTTCAGATCGTTTTAAGATGACACATAAACCAATCACAGAGCTGTATTACATCTCAATATATTACTTAAGATGATCTTGAAATAAGAACGGACTAACTATAAATTATAAATACCGGCCTAGGATTGCTTTTTAGGACCATATTTTTCTTAGAAAAGAAACATGGACCATTTTTTCCAGGCGTTTTTTTTCCAAGATATTAAATTAATACTTCACATGTTTACCTTTACGATAACAATAATTATAGTCTCATGTTTTTGATCAAACAATTCCTGACAAAAATAACAATGTAACAACGGAACAATCTCCTAATGTAAAGATTAACTAATTTTCATCAAATCTATCGATTAAAGTTGTTAGGCGAAAGAATAGCGTTTTCAGGAGACCGTTAACGTCATTCGGAAAAGGCGATAACAAAGTAAGAGCTATATTCCAAAACGTCCTCTTTAAGTATTTTCCTCGAAGATAACGTTTTGGAATGTATTAAAACTAAGAATCTCATAAGATCGTATATATGTGAGTATACACAACCAACGGGAGATAAATGCCATTAACGGTCTAGCTGGATTTTAAATGCTTGTATAATTTTGGAATGCAGTTCAGAAAAATTGTAACTAAAAATGTCTTTAGTTTTGCAATAGAAGTGCGTAGGAATCCATTTACACAAAGAAACTATCTTGAAAGACATATAGTTTGAATGATCTTAATTCATTCTGCGTTATTTTGCAGAGATGAAGCGATTCCAAGGACATTTCTGCTTCTCACATAGTGGAAACGATTTCGCACCGTGACGTAACGTTCCATACCGTTTTGCGCTGTTTCCAGCGGTCGCAATGCGCTTAATTTCTGACGTGTGCCGAACGAATTTTGTTAACGAAAATTTTCACAATGACAGACACGCGTAATGTAATCCAGATGATTGCGAGCTCTCGTAATTGCGCCCGTCTACGTCAATGTCGTCAATGCAAGTGCACATATGGATAAACAACCGAGTTATTATGCTGAGTCTCGCGATTGGTACAATTGAAGTTCCGGCGGTATCGTCAAGGCGCAAGTGTCCCCCACGTGTTGTTATTTGTGTCTTCCTCTATTCTAACTCGATCCTTTGTCGTATATCGAAATGTATACGCAGTATATCTGTCATTAAAGCGCGACTAGAGTTTGACGTAGCGGTATCTATTACACAAAGCGGACCACATGACTTGATCACCTCGATTATTCTCTGTAGAGACTTTCAATTTTGTTCCGAGTTCTCTCGATTCCGACGGAGTAAAGAACGAATAAATTAAACAATTTTCTTTAAAACACGTAATTTCAATAAATCAATAAAATAGTACAAAAAATAATGTGCATATACTGATGTGTCGCTGCAGTTTCTTGATGCGAACAAAAAAGTGATTTATTAAATAAAGGAAATATCAGCTAGTGGCTTCTTTAAGCTCATCAACTTAAAGTCTTGAAATTAGACTACATATCTAGATCATTTTGTTAAATCAGTAATGTCTTAGAAAGCGAAATTTGTTTAAAAAAACATATATTAATTTTTCTTGTTTTAAACATATCTTCATATTGTAACAAATATAACATATTAATTGCAATAAAAGTTATTGTGTGTTGTAAATTAAAAAAGTTCAATTATTTCCTAATTATTTCGTAATTTATTTCTGTCAGAGTAGAGATCCTCTACACTAAGAAAAAGGTACTTAAAATCTTATTCGTGAGATATAATATTTATTTTACTGAAATAGATTCTTATTTAAATACGGTGAAAAAACATTTTATTTTTAGCAAATAAATCTATTTAATTTTATTTATAATTAATGAGACATTTTAAAGAAACGTATATTTTGTCATTATAGTAAAATCTTTATTCAATTTTGATCACTATATATATTATTTTTATAATCAATAAATGTTGAAAAAAATGTTTATTTGCAAAATGTTAGGACTTTTTTGTTCAATGTAATCAGAGTTTGGTCACAACAAAGGGTCCGACATTTTTCGACAAAATCGTTCAGATATCAAGAAAAGATATATTTTAGCTCGCTCTGTAATAGCTCTGTAGTAAAAAATATATGCTCTCTCATTTTAACTCTAGTACAAGAGAAAAAAATATATTCTCTGACTAATTCGATTTGACGAAGAATCATTAGACCAATAAGTTGTTATCTCATGGCCAGTCTCTGATATTAGGGGGTCTCTATATCTTAAGAGAGATTAGCGGTATCATCCCAAGTAGCAAAGTTCATTTTGACGTCAAATTCAAGTCATGTTTGTACAAATGACGTCAAGCGACTAAAAAGTGATTATAGGTTTATATTCGATGGCATTCCGTGACGTCATTTTCGTAACGCTATTCCGTAATGTCATATTGACGTCATAAGTCACCAGTTGGGTAGTATAATGGTCAGTAAAGGACCAAAATATAACGTCGAAATAACGGCTCACGATGACGTTAATCGTCTGTGACATTAGAACATCAATTTGACTTCATTAAGACGTCAGTAATGGTCAGTAAAGGCCCAAGATATAACGTCAAAATGACAAACTTTGCTACTTGGGATCTAACTTCTTTTTTACAGTCATAAAAAAATGTTTAATTAGCACATTCATTTACAATAAATAATGCATTTAGTCACCTCATATAATAAAAATACAGGATACAAATTATTCGTTATAAATTCTACATCACGTTGTTTCATCAGCGAATTCTTTGACAAAGAAATAAAATATAATGTTTAGAAAGATAAAATGCGCGGATATTTAAGAAAAAGGATTAGATAGCTTAAGTAGCTTGGAATTAATGCAAACACGAACAATGAGAGAAAAGTGTTTCGTAAAAGCAACTGGGTACTTCTGTGATCTATTTTCGCAATGCTTTCGTTCGATAACGATCATGATATGACCGTAAATTGCTATCATCTGACCTCTACTGCGACCTACATCCGATCGAAGCGCCAATCAACGCCGAAATGATCTCGGTCTTCGATTTCATATTCTCATCTCTATCTACTAATCGATACCAACTTATTATTATTATTATTATGTACTTTAAAATACACAATAAATTAATAATATATGAAAATAAGTTTTAATGTCGTTTAATAAATGATAAGCAGTATTAATTAATTATCATTAAATAATTAATTACTGTCTGAAGTCTGTCAGAAGTCGATCAGAAATTTGATATGATACTTGACGCGGATAAAAATTAAAGATCAGACTAATTACATTAAATTGAGGATGAATACACACGTACATGGATGACAAAGGAGCTTAAGAAATGTCACTTCCAACCAGGGGTGCGATTCCGTAACTGTTTTACACTCCTACCGATAGTTGTCGGTGTCGTTGCGCAGCTTTTTCATCATATAAAATATCTACGCAACGCCACCGACAACTGTTGGTAAGCGTATAAAGACAGTTACGGAATTGCGTCCCAGAAATTTGGAAGAGGCTCATTCGACATATATTTATGGAAAGTTTGTTTGTAACCAGGAACTTGTCGGATACGCTCAAGGCATTCGAAAATTATTTCGTTGAAGATGACTCGCAAGGAGTCGAAACTTTCGAACAAATAAGTCGTATATAATAGAAACAAATTACATTATTAATTTGGCGCACCAATAACTGCGCAGTATTATTCTCATTTACCTGTATTGCGAGTTTAAATTATTATATAGATATCAGAGAGTTCAATAAAATATTATATATAATAGGAAATATATAATAGGAAGTTATGAAATATTAATTTTTCATAAGTGATAGATGATATGCGTAATTGCATTTTTTTTCCACAATCACATTTTATCAATCAGTTCGCAATTGAATTTGTTGCAGTTAATTTCGTCATTTATGAAAAATTACATTAGTTAAAAATTCAGAACTGCGCGTTTATAAAATTCAATGGCTGCAATGTCTTTAGGAAAACAAATTGCACATAAACTTATGTAAAAAATAGAAAACAAGTATACATTGGAATTCCTAAATTCATTACAAGCGAAACATAAAAAAAAAACGTTTGAAATAAAAGTTTTAATGTAAAGAGAAAAGATGATAAATGTAATAATACTTCACAATATATTTTTAAGAATAGTAATATTTTTCATGATACCTACGTAAATTTAAAAAATATATATTTTCTGAAATAAGATTCCTTTATACTTTTTATACAAGGTGTCCCGAATTTAAATATCAAAACTTCAGGAGTATGTAGGGAATCGATAATTATTTATTACAAGGGATCCAGTCCGATGACCTTGACATATGTTGTCGAGGTCATCATCCTGAGTAACTTTGCTTTAACAATTAAATGGCATTCTCTTTTACTTTTTGAGATATTTAAAGTGCAATTTTAGTATCATGCGCCTATACAATCTTCTACGCGAAGCGAAGTTCAGCACACCTCCCCTCCTGCCTAGGGGCACACGACTTTCCATGCAAAGCAAGATCATAAATAGCACATTATTATATAATTTATTCATTAAATTTTAGTTGGGTTTAAGTGGGGGTTAGTTAGGCAGACGTATTAATTATACTTGTGTGTTAAAAAAAGTCAGATATAATATATGTGTGTGTGTGTGTGTGTGAAATAAATGAAACTAAATGATGTCGATAAAGATTAGAGCAAAAAAAAAATAACTTTGTTGCGCATGCAAATGGGAGACTCACCGAGATGCGACAACGAGTATGGATCTGAAACAACAAAAAAGAAACAGACAGGATTAAATGTTATGCTGATTTTAATGACCACATGATCTGCAGATGCTCAATTAACAAATATTTTTATCAATAAATAATTATAATAACAAAGTGAGGCACTTCGTACTCCAAACGAAAACAAGACAGCGCAGACCTGCGATTTTCTCAAAATTTATTTATAAATATAGACATTATCAATTTCGAACAGTAACACAGCGTAACAAGCGTTCCTAATTAATGTCGCAAAACTTGAAAGTGTATTTTTCGAAATGGAAAATCAATTTTTTATTAGTAAAATCGGTAGGACGTAAGTATAATTCTTTTAATTATAAAAAAAGATCTTTTAATTATTATAGAACACTGCACATCTTCTACATGCGGTATGCATTAATTTAATGAGCGCAATAAACATTTGTTTGATATCAGATCACAGAACAACTCTTTTGAGAACTATTCGCTCAATTTGATTGATATGATACTCGATCTGCATTTCGTTGAAGCGATTGTCTTTCCCTCCTCCTTCTCCTCTTTTTTTATTGAAGATTATTATAGAATGTGTGGCATTCAAGGTCCACCAACTGAATCTATCGACGCACATTAAGATAAAGTAGCGGGGAAAACCTATTTATAGATTATAGGCCACTTCGTCTTTCTTTCTCGAGAAGGCTAGTAAAAAGAATTGAGTGATCGATATAGACTTTCCCTCTGTGATGTCATATTAGAAATGTTTTATACTCAACCGACTAATAATCATTTCAGTTTATTAAAAGAAAGAGGGTATTGCAACTGTAAAAGTATTTTTTTCTAAATAATTATATTTGCCACAGATATATATATATATATA